CTCTGTGATTAAACAAATTGGCTGTAAGCATGTATGAATTATTAGCGGTAATAGTATGCAGTCTTTTTGCTTTTGCAGGGTCTGATCCACACATTTAGTTGCTAGAACAGAAAGAAGGGAAAGAAGGGGCTGAGGGGCTTTTGTCCAAGTCCTGTTGGCACCACGGGCTTTGAGACACACTCCACACTTTTAGTGCATAAAATAAGGGAGCTGAAATGCCAGTTCCCAACTTCACTGCCCGTGCAGACCGAGGCAGTATCAGCCCTGTGCTGAAAGCAATGGGACATTACACACACACACATACTTACATACATACCTCAGGGCATAAAGCAAAGCCTGTGAAATTTTTTCTTACTGACTAGCAGGCTCTAAGTCTTTCTGGACATCTTACACTGAAGGTAAATCCCTGAATTTGGCCTGCACCTTGCCTGCAAGAAGTACTGGGCAACACAACTGCTTTGTCAATAGACTTAAATCCACAACAGGCGCATATGCACCACTATAGGGAAATGTTTCAAGGTGAATCAAAACCAGCTGAAAAACAGTGGTATCAAAGGAGATGTCAAAAGAACAACTTTAAGACCTGTGGCCAGTTGGCACCTGTGACGAAATTGGTATTTATAAGCATAAGCCTTTTTGCTAGACAGGAATGTAGCCCCGTGCTCCTGGCAGCACCTTTGGTCTCTGGCAGGTTTTGTGTTCACTAAATGAAGCATGTGAGCTTGCCCGTGGCTTTATACCTTGTCCTTCGCACGTCAACATGCTTCTGCTCGTGCTTTGGGAACATGCGGTGGCCCCGGCGTTAGGCAGCAGTTTCCCATTTGATCTCAACATCACAGCCAACGCAGGCTGCGAGCAGAAAAGAAGCTGCAGTGCTTGATGGCTGGTACTCCATAAATGAAACTCAGCACTGCTGAAGTCCATACCCAACTGGAGAGCCAGCTGTCGCTGGGGTGGGGAGGTTTTCTGACATAGCACACTAGTTTGCCCTTATTGGGTTTGTTTGTTTCTGGGAGGCACAGCTAATGGTGAGTCTCAGTGGTGGGTGCTGTGCCCTGGTTATTAGCGTGGGCTGGCTTTAAGGGCAAGCATCCATGTATGAGTGAGGCAGTTGCTCCTTTGGAGCAATTTAACATTACAGTATATTGGGTTGCTAATGATTTTTTGACTGTATCACCAGGATTTTTGTGTAAGGAAGGTCCCGATTCCACTCTTCCAGGATGGTCTCACCTGTCCCCCAATTTAATTTCTCTAGATTTACACGAGCTGATCAGAGAGCAGGACTAGACATTATGTCTCTGCCTAAGCAAGCCTTATGTTTGAAGGTGTTTACTCTGTAGAACATATATGAGTTTTGTGGTTTTGTGAAAGAAACAAGGAAATCCAGGATTATTTTTAATAGCAATTATTCTTATTCATCAATATTAACTGCAATTTAGACCAAAGTTAGAGGTTGAGGCTTAATCCAGGTCAAGGCACATTTGTGTGAGCTATTTCAAAAACCCAGAGTAAGTGACATAGCCTGATCCCCAGAATTTATTTGAACTGAAACTGGGCTTTGGACTTACAGAGATGGATGTACAGAAATGGGAAAGAGGGTGTGACAGGGGGATGAAGAGGTCTGGCTAAGGAAGCAAATAAGTTGTCAAGGCTTGTGGCCACTGTATCCAGTGTAGCATTGGAGGCAGAAAGAGTGAACAGGTACACCGTGTTTGGAGGGTGGCAGTGGAAAGTGCTGTGAGCAATATTCGTGGGAAAAAACCCAAACAACAACCTGTTACTGCAACAAAACCTAAAGGGAGCTGAAAACAAACAGCCCTCTGTGAATGCAATGGGCACTAGACACTCTTGCCACCTGAGGAGAGTAATTGGCAAGTGCTGAGTAAGAGCTTGTTCTGGGTTTGGAGGGGCAGCATTGTTATGCTAATAGTCCTTTCACTTGCCTGCAGTGCTGCTGTTGTGTTCTCCTGGAAGAATTGGGCAGGAGGCTTTCCCAGGACCTGTTTGTGAGGAAGGGCTGGCTGCCGTTTCAGCTGGCCCAATGCAGGCGGCTGCAAGCCTGCCTTCCCTCCTACCCCCTGCATGCATCTCCCTGCCCCTCGCAATGGAGCCCTTTGAGCATTTGCTAGGTCTCCCAGAGAGCCTGTTCAAGGACACAGGTTGAAACCAGACCAGCCAGGGTAGTTCATTTTTGGCTGGAGCAGCTTCTGAGCTGTGGTCTGCCTGGGCTGGCACCAGGCAGGTCATGGGCATCACGACTAGTGTGGGAAGGGGCCAGAACCACAGCAGGAGTGGCCAGAGCTGCCACAGCGCACCGGTGTGTGAGGCTCTCTCTGGCACCTGGGTGCTCTTCCTCCCTTCCCCAGCCATTGTCATCATCAGTGGTGATGTTCCTCCTTGTCCCATTGGGGCCTGCCCATTCCTAGCACATCAGCCGTGCTGTCAGCGCCTCACAGTGCCCTTCTTGCTTTAACAATTCAAGTGAGAATCCGTCTTTTTTTCAGAGTCTTAAGCTGTCTTTAACAAATGTAGACCCAGTTTTGGCCTAAGTTCTCTTGTCTGAGAAACATCCTTTCTGAGAATTTAATTAGAAGCGACTCTCATTTACATGGATTCTACCAGCTGCCATCGGCTCTGCAGCCCTGGGGAAAAGAATCAGATGATACTGTGAAAGCCATTAGCGAGGACATTAGAAGCAACCATATCCAGGTCAGGCAAAGTTCTGAAAATACCTAGCATTCATGTGTCCTTAATTGCTTTTCTCCCTTTACAGCTGTTGGGTGAACACACCATCTGAGAGGGGCTGCCTCAGGGATTTCTTTTCCATTATGTGATGTAGATATGGAGAGAGGAGCAGGCAGTGACTGCTCAACAAGGAAAGGAAGAAGTAGACTTGAGTAGCAAGGAGAAATTGGAACCTAGTGGAGGAAGATATAAGGAGCTAATATTGGGCCCTAAACAGGGGCAGATGTGCTTGGAGGAGCAGCAAAGGAGCTGCTGAGCTACTTTGCTAACAGCTAAGATGCTAAGAGGAAGATGGGATACCACTTCTGGACTTTAGTGCCTTGTTCAGGTGTGTCTTTGAGCAAGTCAAGAACATAATAAGGTGATTTCGGTGTCTTACAGGACCATCAGAAATGTAAGAAGCCTAGGTATCTTGAGGATGGAGACAGTAGAAATGCACAGCTAGCTCCAGGCCCTGCGTCAGAATTGCTCTCAGGACTCCTGTTAGTCTGCTGTGACCGCTGCAGTGCCTCTGTCACCACCCAGGGCTTGCTGCACTAGGAGCGTGACAGCAGAGGTGCTTTGCCAGGGAGCACATTGTCCTTATTGTCAAGAGAGGAAAAGTGAGGCGGTATGAGGTCAAGGGCTTTGCCCAAAGTCAGCCAGTGAGAACTGTAGGGCTTGAAACCTTGCCCCAGTCCTGTGCTCTACCTAGCAGGTAAAAGGCACCACTGCAAACCCACGCTGCAAACTTCTTGAGGACTTGCTTGCCTTTACAGCCTGTGAAGTGTCAGGTGCACCCAGCCTGTTATCTACATAGTGATTCACTTCCAGTCTTGCAAATACGATCTGACACAAAGGAGGTAACATTTAAATGCTGTAGCATACATTGAAATGTTCTCTCTAGGCTGTCCGTGTAAGAAGCTTTGCCAGCTACACCCGCTTTTTGGCAGCTGCTGCAGTGACAGCTGAGAACGCAATATGATAAAAATGCCACTTCTGCAAAATAATCGTGGCCCATTGGGTGATTCCCAGCAAGACCTTGTGAAGGGAAAGACTTAGCCAAAACACATCTATTTGGGGCAGCATGAGTGCTGGAGAAAACAAAGCATGTTGTGAATGTTAAGCCAAGCATGCTAATAAGTAAATGGCTCAACAGCTCAGTTGTTTTAGCTGAAATGATTTGAGAAAACTTTGTGTACCTGTGGTATGAATTGATCAGGTGACATGAAACCATTCTTTCCTGGCTTTTGAAAGGGTGAAAAACAAAGGAAAATGACAACGGATTAACACAACTGTCAGTTTACTTTCCCTGCTAGAACTTTGATAGTCCATTGTTGTTCTAATTAATCAGAAGCAATCGGCTTGTAAATGCTGTGATTAACACAGCTTCTGTTTAACCCCGTGTTGAGTTTTCCAAACAGTATATGTAGCTGTTATGCAGAGTAGAAGGGGAGTCTAAAAGCTCTCAGGTAGAAGCTCCAGAAGCTGAGGATGGCTTCTGGTGCTGAACTGCCAAGGCTGCCTCCAGCTGTAAAACAGCATAGCAGAATGCATCAGTAGAAGTCCAAATGATTTTCTACTGGTTTTAGGAGAAGAGATTTTTTTTTTTTTCTGAGATACCCAAATGGCAGTTTGACACTTTAATTCCCAAGTGGCAGCCTGTGTTTAAGCTAATGGCAATTGCTTGTATAAACTTCTGTTTTCTTTTATCTCCATAGGTTTGTTGATCGGCTCTGGTTGTGCCCTCTATCCTCTTGGCTGGGACAGTGAAGAAGTCAGACAAACCTGTGGTAACCTTTCCAACCAGTTTGAACTGGGTGAGTCATCATCAGAGCGTCTCAGTCACATTAGACTCTTCTGTGTGTTGTCCATAAAAGCAAATGAGGACATGAGCACGGGCTTGGAGAAGCAACCCAGCTGTGTGTGGTAGGGTACTCATATTGCATCATTCTGGTATGGTGCTAAGGCAGGGGATTTCAGATAGATTTGATGGAAATATTTTCCAGAAGAACATTATAAAAGAAAATGAAGGAATGTATGTATGTATGTAGGTACGTATGTATGTAAGACATCAGATTTAATAGTCTTGCAATACGGGAGCTAACACTCCTGGAGACCTTGACAGGGTAGACAGAGGCATCACATCACAGCACAGGTGAGGGTAATTCACAATGAGTGCGATTAGCTGTCTTTGAAGTCTGTCATGTTTATGGCCTAACGTAAGCCTAAAGAGTATGGTTTTGGTTACTGACATCCTTGGGAAGCTGGTAAATAACACTTGCTCCGTATGTCAGCCTTTTCCCAAACAAGCCACTGGTCTTAACGGTGATGTCTGCACTGAGCGCTGAACGAGAGCCAGGGATGCGGCCAAGCCAGGCTCACAGCCACACGCTATAGGGTGAGCCACCTCTAGAGAGCTCATCGGGCTGATGGAAAGCAAGGGCCCAGCAGGGACCTAAGGATTAAGCAATGTGGATAATCAGGATCTGATGTTTGCATGCATATTCAGGTCCTTGTTTAGCTAGAAGGATCGATGCAGCTGCTGATACCCTACTCTATAAGTGCTCTTTGATCTTGTGTCACTTGAGAAAGAGGAGGGTCTGCAATCCTCCTGAAGGAGCAGGAAAGACTGAGCACCCTGACCCTCCACAGGCTTGGGAGCTTCCACTCCCAAGCACGGGCATGCAGAGCTCCCCATTTCCAGCCCCTGCGAGCTAAACATTATGGTTAGCGTTAGCAACCCTTTCCATAGCTGCATGTGCAGGGCTTGTGGTAGTCTGGCAGTCATCCCAGTGAAAATGGTCTCCTAGGGTTAAACACAAACCTGCTGCATTATCTTTTAATTTTACACTGATATTTCTGTCAGGCTTCAGGAGTAAGGAGTTTTGTTTCCATCTCAGACATGTTTCCTGTGAAGATAGGCAAATGAATTGAGGTAGAAAGGTAAGAAAATATTGCTTTGGGAGAGATGCTCCAGGTCATCCTCCCTTACACCATTCCTGTGGTGTTTTGGAGTTCATTTGATCTGGCATGGGACCAGAAATTTGTATTACCAATATCAGCACCCATGTCTACCACTGCCATTGATGTTGTTATCAGCAGCCGCTAATGGTGTTGCCCAGGGGATGTGTAATGTGCTCTAGAAGCTTTACCTTGTTATTCTGAACTCTAATATTCTTCTGGGCTATTGATACCCTCGCTGGTGCACACTGATGCCTGCTCTTTCACACCAAGCATGTGAGCAGCTCTGCTCTGCGATTCCTGCTTGTGTCCCTGACAGCCTGCTCGTTCCCAGGCTTCAGTCATTGCTCTCCCCAGAGTGCAGAAAAGTGTTACCTTTCCATGTTATTTCTCTGCAAACCCACAAAAAGGCGGGTGTCGTGCCAGTCTGAGCTCCTTGAAGACAGCACTTAGGCAGTTACAAACTGTGACCTTAAAGACAGTCATGCCCGCAATCAGAGCAGAGTCTCTGAGACCACCTTCACCATCTCAGTCGTGACTCCTGAGTCAGATATTTGCATAAATTGAATCACTCTGCCATTAAAGTCAGTGAAGAAACCCATGTGAAAGATTTCAGCTGCCAGTTTTCCTTCCAGGTACACATAAGGACCATGAGATATATTCCATTAACTGTGAAGGCATGTACTCTTACTATGTTTTCTGGACCTGGAGCATGCAGGGCGTGCCTAGGCTTGATGGGAGTGCTGGTCTCACCAATCTGCTGCAATCCTAGATTATAACGACAGCTGAAATTTGCCATAGTGATTTCCACCAGGCAGCTCTGCCACTAAACATCTCTTTTCCACATACACTGGCAGTAAATGTAAATGCTTGGCTAGGATTTGTTTTTTACTTAATGTCAGTGTCTGGTTGATGCTGTGTTAGCAAAGTCATCTGTAAAGAAGAGGTACTGTCTGAGGGCTGTGTTTAATAACCACACTGCTCATCCCCTTACATAAATACCTCTTGGTTGGTGATAACCCAAACCCTCTAGTCTTTTCTGAATCATTAGAGACTGGCTTACTCATAGCCTACAGGCCAAAAATGATGTTTCAAAGACTTAATCTCACTAAGTCTCAAGACAAATTTAAGTAATTATTGCTTTCATTTGAATATTTAATTTGATTAAGCCGCAATGATATGCTTTCTATTTCTGAATCTGTGAAATGAGTTGCCTCAAGAACCACAGGTATACATGCTGCATTCAAAATCTGCCCTCAGAAAAGCTGAGCTGCGGTGAGCCCTGCACTGGTTTGCTGATGGGAGAAATGGTGGTGGTGGGAGTGCTGGTCCTGCCCCTCCTGCAGGTGTGGGTGCTAGTGAGGATGATGCTGAGGGCCTAATTCAGTGCACGTGGTTGCTCTCAGAGGAGAGGCTGTTCAAAGGGATGCTGATCAGCCGACAGTGTTCAGCCTCCTCTTTGAGCATAGCAGAACAACTGTTTTGGCTTGGGCCACAGGGAATGTGTGCATACGGTTAGGAAGGAGAGTCAAAGCACACCACGTTTGAGCACAGAGCCAGCAAAGGTGGAGATTCACCGGTGAGAGAGATTCATTCTGGACTTGCAAAAGGTGAGGTGAAAAAATGGTTGAGGTTGGAGGTAGAAAAGATAATCCAGGAACTGTAATCTACATTATAGGAGGATGAGAAAGACAAGAGGCAGGTACAGAGCAGGGACTGCAAGACCTCACTTGAAAAGCAGCTGAATTGTGCACAGCAAAATGTAATGTTAACCAGAAATATGCCAGAATTAGCAATTAAATGAAAATTTTTGCTTTACCAAAATGAGACAAACCCCCACCCCCGTAACATGCTAGTAACTAGATAGAATAAAAAATAGCAATGCTAAGAATCCATAACATAGCCTCATCCTTAGTGGGTGTGCTAGATAAGAAGTGCTTCTTCATGTCTTCAGGCACTCTGAAAAGGCATTAGACTAATAGGCACTCCAAATAGTGCTGAGATAGCCCATATTGTGAAGAGGGGACCCCCTCTCTCCGCCCCCGCCAAACACACACATTTCTGTGTACATTCCAAAGCAATATTTAAAAAGGCTGCAGGAAAAATAACCATGCTTTTAATTTACGTATAAGTGAATGCGGGTATTCTTTTCTAGAAAACCTGAGCTGCATTGTGAAATGCCCAGCAGTTTGCTGCTCTCTTTAAAATTGGATATTTATTTGTTTTTTATTAAGTGAACTATGTCCAAAGAGTTTACTTAAACATTTATGTATTTAACTGGGCTAATTTTTTTCAATCAAATGAAAGTGTTTGTATAACTTGATCTCTACAAAGAGGAGTCATTCTTCAACTGAAGATACCCTGCCAAGGACAACCCCATTTGTTGATTAAATTGCATTCAATAGATGAGCTGTTTTGCTAATGAGGATGGGGAGTAACCTCCATAAATAGACAGACAGAGAGACTGGTGTACCTTAGAGGGGCCTGCTGTCTGCTCTACTCTAGCATTCTGGTTTTGCTATCATGAAAAAAAGCACAGTGGTAGATTAGGACTTTGAGAAATGACCTCTGGCAAATCTTTTTGGGGGGTTAAGGCCATGACAGGTCTCTGCTGTGCTGCTCTGCTTGTGGTTCCCAGCACCCTGGCAGTCAGCAGGATCTGTATGGAGGTCCTGGGGCCCTGCTCTGTATTGCAGCATCCCATCTCAGATCACGGATGGAGCAGAGTTCCCACCAGAACACCAGACCATGGACTGGAGCAGTCTTCTGCCACTGTTTTTAGGGTGGTAACTCCTAGAAATAGGGCAATATAAATAAATGGGGGCAAGAGAAAAGAGATACTTATGTTTTAAACTAGTGCAGTTGTTTGCCCAGTGACCAAGTCAAAGTCCTTAGTCTAATTAGCATTTGGCCCAGGCTAATGCCTGAGATGGAGACTGGAGTTATAAACTAGCAGTGGTTAAAGGGACTGCCTTTCACTTTTACCAAATGTCTGAGGATGGATCAAAGTCATCTTAATCTCTTGTCACCATGCAAGCTGTTATAGTTATGCTGCATTATTTACACTCTGGAGTTGCCTGTGGGCCCATTCAGGGCAGCACCAACGTGGCATAGCAGCACAGAGCTGCTGAGTGAAGGGTGTGAAAATGAGTCAGATCTACACAATCCCATGGTCTACAAAAGGAATCAGCAGGCAATTTCCCAAAAGCAAGCATCTTTATAGCATATCATATAGCACACATTCAGTTTTGCTGAGCTAGAGGCACTAATACCATTTTGTTTTCATTTCTAAATGTACCACACAAGAATAACAGCTGAAAAATGAGGGTTTTAGCAGGAAATTCAATAAGTGAGGGACCTTGCATTAAGGTGAGAGTATGCATTAAAGTGAAGACTGCATCAGATATTTGCAAAAATGTCCATGTTGTGCAAAACTTAGACTGTGTGAAAAAATCTTCTGAACTTGCATGCCTTTTTAAAGGGCAATGTGAGTGTATACGTGTGAATACATTAGTATTGGTTTTGAATGTCTAAAATCAGTACGAGACTTCATTTCAGGCCATTGATTTCCCTAGATGTGCATGCAGAGGCTGCTCAGTTGTTGCATGCTCATTTCTGTTGTGACGGGTGTGGAGGCAGCTAAATCCCACAGAAGGTCCCGCAGAGTACAGGCCATGCTCAGTTTAACTCACAAAATTGAGCCTCAGTTAGCATCTGGTGAAACAGCACTACAAGACCAATACCTAAGAGCCCAAACAGCAAAATGTTTATCTAGAGTAAGATTCATTTATCTAAACGTAGATGACTCATGCCATTGTAGGTGCCCTAGGAAATTTCATCTGGCCTCCAGCTGCCA